CGGCCCCCCCGGGCTGCTGCACCCCGTGTGCTGAGAGGAGCTGCCCCGGGAGCTTGGACATGAGGCGAGGGCTCTGCGAGGGGCTCAGGGCCATGACGGCCGAGGCCTGGTGCTGGTGCTGCTGCTGCTTGTTGCGGTACTCGGCCATGAGGTTGGTGTGTTCCTTCTGCTGCTTCCGCACCTGCCGGGGACAGCGGGGCGTCAGCACCGGGAACGGTGGGGCGTTAGTGCCGGGGATGGCACGGCATTACTGCTGGGGGCAGGGGAATGTTAGCACCAGGAATGGCACGGTGTTAGCGCCCAGGACAGCAGGGAGTTAGTGCCAGGAACGGCATGGCACCTGTGGCCAGGAATGGCACATTAGCACTGAGGACATCACATTTGCACTGGGGGCAGCACAGGGTGCCAGGGACATCGCGTTTGCACCGAGGACGAGGCTCCCACCCACACGCAGGGCCCTACCTGGTCCAGCTGCTTCTGGATCTTACTCTGCTGCTCCGTCACCAGCTTCAGCTTCTCGGCGTCGGCCTCGGGGAACTCCCTGCCGGCCTTCTTGGCCGTGCGCTGCTTGGCACAGAGCGCCTTGCGGGACTTGCGGTGAGCCCCGATCTGCTCCTCCAGCACCTTCAGCTGCATCTGCAGCAGCTGCTGCGTGTGGAACAGCCACTCCTCGTACTGCCGCTGGTCAGCCTCGTCTGTGGAGTGGGGAGAGGGCTCATCAGCAGGGATCCCGGGTCAGCAGGGACTCGGGGGGAGCAGGGCTCCCAGGGGCAGGGTGAGCTCACCACGCCGGCCCCCCCCCCGTACTCACTGATGACGCCCTGTGCGAAGGTGGGCGGGTTGGGCCGAGCCTGGGTTGGGTCTGCGCCGCTTCGCTCCTGCCAGAGAGAGGAATGCTGGGGACATGTGCCTCCCTGTCCCCTCCCCACAGCCCTCACCTCCCCAGGGAGACATAAAGCCACCAGAGTGGCTCCAGCCTGGCAGGGTGCTGAGCACCAAGCCAGGCAGACCTAAGGGACTTCTGTATTCCCCATCCCCAACAACCCACTCACCTGCCCGCTCCCTGCCAGCAAGTGGTTCTGCATCTCAGAGACTGCTGGGCCCCCCGAGAGCCGCTGGGCCAGCAGGGAAACCTGTTGCCTTCGGAGGGAGACACAGAGATGGGGGTCAGCTGGAGCCAAGGCACTCTGCCCGTCCCTGCCCATGGCACATGGACCTTTGTGCCCCTTACCTGTTCATGCCTGGGGCCACCCCAATGCTGCCCTGAGCCATCACCTTCTTGATGCCCTTCAGTGCCACCATCTTGGCCTTGGCAATGGGGTCCATGATGTCCTCAGCCGCAAACTTGTCCAGGTCTGCCGCGAGACAGGTCACAACACGCTCAGCCCTACACACTCCACCCAAAACAGCCCCACGCTCCCCCAGACCACCACCCACAGGTCCTACCTGTGTCTGGGAAGAAGCTGTTGGCCAACTGCTGCTGCATGACGAGCTGGGGGGGCTTCAGGCCCAGG